CAACATAGTTTTGGAAGTTCTGGCCAGGGCAATCAGGCAAGAGAAAGAAATAAAGAGTATTCAATAAAGCAAAAGAGGAAGTCAAATTGTCCCTGTTTGCAGATGACATGATTGTATATTTAGAAAACCCCATCGTCTCAGCCCAAAATCTCCTTAAGCTGATAAGCAATTTCAGCAAAGTCTCAGGAAACAATATCAATGTACAAAAATCAGAAGAATTTCTATACACCAACAACAGACAGAGAGCCAAATCATGAGTGAACTCCCATTCACAATTGCTACAAGGAGAATAAAATACCTAGGAATCCAACTGATAAGGGATGTGAAGAACCTCTTCAAGGAGAAATATAAACCACTGCTCAACGAAATAAAGAGGACACAAACAAATGGAAGAAGGTTCCATGCTCATGGATAGGAAGAATCAATATCGTGAAAATGGCCATACTGCCTAAGGTAATTTATAGATTCAATGCCATCCCCATCAAGCTACCAATGACTTTCTTCAGAGAATTGGAAAACACTACTTTGAAGTTCATATGGAACCAAAAAAGACCCCACATTGCCAAGACAATCCTAAGCAAAAAGAACAAAGCTGGAGGCATCATGCTACCTGACTTTACGTTATAAGGCTACACTAACCAAAACAGCATGGTACTGGTACCAAAACAGAGATATAGACCAATGGAACAGAACAAAGCCCTCAGAAATAATACCACACATCTACAGCCATCTGATCTTTGACAAACCTGACAAAAACAAGAAATGGGGAAAGGATTCCCTATTTAATAAATGGTGCTGGGAAAATTGGCTAGCCATAAGTAGAAAGCTGAAACTGGATCGTATCCTTACTCCTTATACGAAAATTAATTCAAGGTGGATTAGAGACTTAAATGTTAGACCTAATACCATAAAAACCCTAGAAGAAAATCTAGGTAATACTATTCAGGACATAGGCATGGGCAAGGACTTCATGTCTAAAACACCAAAAGCAATGGCTACAAAAGCCAAAATTGACAAATGCGATCTAATTAAACTAAAGATCTTCTGCACAGTAAAACGAACTACCATCAGAGTGAACAGGGAACCTACAGAATGGGAGAAACTTTTTGCAATCTACCCATCTGACAAAGGGCTATTATCAAGAATCTACAAAGAACTTAAACAAATTTTCAAGAAAACAAACAACCCCATCAAAAAGTGGGCAAAGGATATGAACAGACACTTCTCAAAAGAAGACATTTACGCAGCCAACAGACACATGAAAAAATGCTTGTCATCATTGGTTATCAGAGAAATGCAAATCAAAACCACAATGAGATACCATCTCACACCAGTTAGAATGGCGATCATTTAATAGTCAGGAAACAATAGATGCTCGAGAGGATGTAGAGAAATAAGAACGCTTTTACACTGTTGGTGGAAGTGTAAATTAGTCCAATCATTGTGGAAGACAGTGTGGCAATTCCTCAAGGATGTAGAACTAGAAATGCCATTTGACCCAGTGATCCCATTACTGGGTATATACCCAAAGTATTATAAATCATGCTACTATAAAGACACATGCACATGTATGTTTATTGCAGCACTATTCACAATAGCAAAGACCTGGAACCAACCCAAATATCCACCAATGATAGACTGGGTTAAGAAAATGTGACACATATACACCATGAAATACTATGCAGCCATAAAAAAGGATGCATTCATGTCCTTTGCAGGGACATGGATGAAGCTGGAAACCATTCTGAGCAAACAGTCACAAGGACATTCTGCGTCATTCTGAGCAAACAGTCACAAGGACAGAAAATCAAACACTGCATGTTCTCCCTCATAGGTGGGAATTGAACAGTGAGAACACTTGGATGCAGGGCAGGGAACATCACACCCTGGGGCCTGTCATGGGGTGGAGGGTAGGGGGAGGGATAGCATTAGGAGAAATACCCAATGTAAATGATGAGTTAATGGGTGCAGCAAACCAACATGGCACATGTATACCTATGTAATAAAGGTGCACGTTGTGCACATGTACCATAGAATAATATAATAATAATAATAAAAGAAAATTAAATAAATTGAAGAGATTATGGTAAATCCATTGCAGGAATATCATCCAGCCACTAGAATGAAAGAATTAGAAGTGTAAATTGAGGAGATTTCATTATGAATTAGGAAAAAGGTTTGCCTGGAAATTCAATATGGAATGTTTTGATTTTTATAAATGAAACAAAGTAGAAAGCCATGTGTTCTATCTAAACATATACATGCCAACACATCCAGTAACCCTACTCTTTGATGTTGATCCTAGAGAAATGCATGCACATGTTCACAGGGAACATGCACACAAATATTAATAAGAGTATTATATTGTTTTGGAAAAATGGGAACTTCATAGGCGTGGATCATTAGGGACAGGATAAACTGAAAATGATGAAATGTACAAAATTAAAATAAATGAACTAGAGTTCCATGTATTTACATGGGTAAACATAAAAAATATAAACTTGAGCTGTAAAATCAACATGTTGAACAATGTATACAGCATGATGATGTGCTTTAAATAAAGGAAGAGATTCTATGTTGTATACAGACACACAAGTAGGTAGAAAATATATACAAGTTTCCATGGGCATAATAATTGCTGACTTCATCATAGAGGAGCACAGTGGGGAAGGAGAGAGCAGAGTGGGTCATGGAAGACGTAAAAGGAGTGTTTTACCATATCCAATATATAAAAGACAGTAAGTAGGGCCTAATATTTAAATTTTATGCAGCTAACTATTGGTGTTTATAATATTAATCTCTCTTCTTGCCCTATGTTTGAGATTAATTCTCAGTAAAAAAAAAAAAAAAAATTCATGCTAAACACAAGCAAATAAACGGCAAAAGCAATCCCCCCATTTTTGTTTCATAGGGTAGGATTATACATGCTATAGACTTCCATGCAAGACCCAAATTCCTGGAAACAGTAAAATAAGTTCATACCTGCACTAAAAAACAATTTAGAGCAATTATCAGTGGACCAGAAACTGCGAGAATTCTCAGAATGTGGGACAGCAGATAGAGCCAGACTACTGGTTTGAGTAAGCCATGACCCAGAACGAATGCAGATTATCCCAAATGGAGGGCTGGCTCAAGAGTGCTCTATGTCCTGGAGAGGTGCTTTCTTTGCTGAACCAAATTGATTTATTGCTAACTTACCCAACAGGAGGACTCAGTAGGCTCTAATTATAAAGAAAATTTCAGCAAGACACGCATAAAGTATTCATGTGTTTCTTAAGAGTTCAGTTAAGAACACCTATAAAATCTTTTCCATCATGTATTCCTTCAGCATGCATTGATTAGATGCCACACTCACACACCGCTTGGAAAACCTTGAGAGGCAGAGTCTGTGCTTACCATGTAATAAATGCTTTTCATTTTTTATCATATTTAATTCTCACAACCCTATGAGGGCAGTACTTTAGCCCCACTTTACAGATGGAAAAACAGGCTTAGAGAGAAGTGACTTGCTTAAACTAATACCTTGAATGACATAAGAAAGACAGAGTGCTAGTTTTAGGGCTTTCCTCAATGGAGTAAAAATGGACTCACGACCTTTTTGGGCACATCAAGACAAGTTTCAGGGAGAAACAGGTCTGTGAGCAGCCAGGTGGAATTTAGCTAGTTGGAGAAGGCTGAGAAGGCAGGTCAGGCAGAGCAAACAGTGAGCAAAAGCAAGCAGTGGACAAAGTTCAGAGTATGTTCTGAAAGAAGCAAAATAAATCAGGTGTCCAGGAAGACGGGAGCCTAGAAACCTTGGAGCCAACCCGCACCCCGTCACCCCCTCCCCATTCCCCACTTCATCCATTCTGTCTATAAAGCCCTTCAATGGTCACCTTTAAAATGTCTTTCTGCCTCTCCATCCCCATGGCAACAGCCTCAAGGCATACTTTAGTTCCCAGTGCTTGTTATTCCAATTGCTTCCTATGTGGTCTGCCAGGAAATAGTTTGCTCTTCTGAAAGCCTGCACAAATGCAATTCCTCTGATCCTGTCACTGCCCTGCTTTCATACATACATACCAATTCCTCTGATCCTGTCACTGCCTCTGTTATACATACATACATACATATAAGGTGGTAGATATATGCACTGTATATAAAAATGTGGTAGATATATGCATGATATATGTAGGTATGTATGTATATATGTATAAAAGCAGAGCAGACATATATCGTGCATATATCTACCACATTTTAAGGGTTTGCACCTCTTTCACCTCTGCTTGTTTCTGCAGTCCCATCCTCACATCATCCAGCATATCTTGCCATAACACATTATCCGGGTCCTACACTGGACCACGAATTCATTAGTATAGCCACATAAATGCCTTCTGAAAACAGGGCGAGTGGGAATGAACGCGATATGTAAGTCAAGACAGGAAAGGAAGGCTGGAGACAGCTGACTCCTTCCAAGAATACACCCTCCTGCCACCCCCAGCCTCCCAACCTGCAACATTAATACCCTGTCGTCAGTGGAATGGAGCTGATTTTGACTCCTTCCAGACTGCCAAGCCAATCTTGGAATGTTTGTACTAGGCTGATAATACAGAAACTTTGTTATTTTTTTCTCTTCTGCAAACTCCAGCCCCCACCACACCCTAGCTGTCATTCCTGCCCTGTCCCACCCCTGTCGCTGCCTGCCCCTTTCCTATCTGCTAGCGGAAGTCTCAGGAGGACCAGCCATTTCCTTTTGTGTTAGGAGGTGCGGCAGGAGAGAAGCGGGGCTGGTTTTGCTGAGCTTTTCTCATGTGTTTGCAGCTGCGGCAAGGCGGCGGTTGCTTGCGCAAGTCAGCTGGCGGGAACTAGCTTTGTAGCTGAGAACGGCTGGTTTATTGATACAGAGACTAACACGTTGGTAGCTCCAGCGGCAGCAGCTTCTTACGGTATAAAGCAGTTGCTTCCTGAAGAGGCCAAGGCATCCTTCCCAGGGACTGCTGTAGCTTGAGCCCCTAGCAGGAGACATGCCTCGGGACGAAAGAGCTGCGCGCCGTAATGCGAGAGCCGCAGAAGAGAACCGCAACAATCGCAAAATCCAGGCCTCGAGGCCTCCAGACTCCCATGGCCGCCTCCGGTAGCGAGCACAATTCAAGACGACCTTGAGCGGCCCCGGGAGGAAGACCCGAGTACTCCAGAGGAGGCCTCTACCAATTCCTGAAGAAGCCTCGAGCACTGCCCAAGCACAAAGCCTTCACCCCGGAGCAATTCTCAGGGCACCAAGAAAGTCTCCTGATGTCCATATTAGCGCTTCATCTTCATCATGGGCAAATAGCGCCAAGGAAGCTCTGGTCTGGAAAGTGCTGGGGAAGTTAGGAATGCAGCCTGGACGCCAGCACAGTACTTTGAGATCCGAAGCAAGATCGTTACAGAAGAGTTTGTGCGCAGAGGTTACCTGGATTTATAAGCCGTGCCCTGCAGCAGTCCGGTGGAGATGAGTTCTTCAGTCCCCGAGCACACGTGGAATCCAGCAAACTGAAAGTCATGCATTTTGTGGCAAGTGTCTGTAACCGCGTTCTAAAGACTGGCCTTGTAATTATGACTGGGATTCGGACGATGATGCAGAGGTTGAGGCTATCCTCAATTCAGGTGTTAGGGGCTATCTCGCCCCTAAGTAGATCTGAGGCAGACCCTGGGGGTGGAAAAGAAAGCTTCAGGTACCCCAAGGAGTAGATGGCCAGGGTCCTAAGTTGAAAATGATGTGGATTGGGGGCGGGGGACACTGTATTTGATACTTGTGACTGTGTGTGATCATTGTTTAACTGCAAAATAGAGTGTTTGCTTTTGATAATGGAAAAATTGTATTCGCTTTTAAAATTCTGTTTGTTGAGAATAAATAATATGTTTAAAAATAATTGAATAGATTTTTTCTTTGTTTCGTCATTGACATTTAGCATAACAGTTGCTACCGCTCTAAAAATGAAGTCGTTCCATCATATTCTATAATCTTGTACAGCACTTATAGGAATGAGCTGTTCTTTTGAAGTTGAAATAATTGTGCAAAAGGTCAAGAAGGATGGAGGATTTCTTCATATATGATTGCTTCTGAAATGCTTTTGTGTTTGCTGTTGTGTGAAGATTGATATTTACTATGATTTTCCTTTTGGTTACTGCAGAACATAGAGAAAAATAAAAGCATAACGACTAGTACATCTTGCGCATTTTCTGACCACCTGTTATGTGAGGCACCAGAGATTCTAGAATATTTCCTAGTACACATCCTTCCATGTCCAAAGAATGCTCCTAGATTATGGGAGAGAAAATAGTAAACTGGCAGTGCAGTAAATGCTGATAGAGTGCCATGAAAATGTAGAAATGACTGAAGTGCCATGAAAATGTAGAAAACATTATGTGACCTGTCTTGGGGAGGGGGCCAGGGAAGGGAGTATTACAGATGTGTGTGAAAATTCAAGAGACACTTAAATAAGTTTGGGGGGACTGAAATATATGATCAGAATATATGATGAAAATATAATGTATTAGATATTTGATTGGATGCTCCACCTACATAGGGGAGGGAGCACTGGCAAAAGAAGGGGACACTGAGGGTGCCTGCCACGGAAGTAGAAAATACACATAAACCATCTTGAGAAGAGGAGGGCAGAGGGAAGGGGTGGGTGCAGGGGAAAAGGTTGTCATGGGGTACTCGGAAATAAAAAGATGGGGCTGTCACAAAATCTTGGTGAGGGGACAATCTGAGGTTTGGAAATAATAGAGAAGAAGGAGAGGGAGTAAAAATGGAGACACTGAAGGCAGCGTGGACATTTGGAAATAAATTCTTCACTGAACTATTATACATAGGAAGGGGAAAGTAGAGAACAAGGAATGAGGCAAGCGGGCAAGGCAGGACAGACCTCAAAGGGTGGGTGACTTAAATTAATGACAATAAAAATGATTAATAATAGTAACAACCCTGAAATAATTTGAGAAAACGCTATAGAAAAGCAGAGCTTCTGAGATACTGGATGAGCCAGAGAAAAGGCTCCACCTGTGGCATCTCCGAAAGGCACCTTTGCACCCTTCTCAGGAACTATGGTTCGTTAGGTGCACACATTGTTTAAAAGTGTGTGTGTCCAAGGGGGCAAGGGGACATTAGTATTTTCACTCTCACCTTCGGCCAATGGAGTAAGTCCGGATTGGTACCTGGCATGAAGGCCTATGCTATACTGTCAAGGGATCAGGCCCAAATCCTACCACCTTTCTCCAAGAGCTAAGCACTGTAATAGTCCGGGTCCTTCTGCTGGGGAGCACCAGCAAGACAAGTGCCCAACCTAGCCCTGGTGGGGCTCATGGTTAGCAGTTATAACACACAAGAGTGGTCAGGCCACCTCTTCCTTCTGACATCCAGGCTTACCCTGCTTCCAGCTGTGCAAAGTAACGTCACCAGGTGCAGGGTAGGCTATAAAATGACCTTCTGGAGAAGGCCCAGGGGACCTGCCTCTCCTCAGCCTGCAGGCCAAGGAGGCTTCAAACAAAAGTAGTGAATTACCCCCACTGTAGCTCCACATTCATTCAGCACAGAAAAATGGTGAGCGCCTTTCTGGATTCAGACAGTGTGATAGAAACTGAACTGCAGAAAATCAAAAGGCCTGTTCTTTGCCCCTGGGAGGAGTCCTATTTATCAATATCACCTCCAGAGTAAACAAGGTGTGGGAATCTGAGGTCCAGGTTTCTCGGTGACTTCCCATCTAGACACAGAAGAGAGAGATCCTAGACAAGACCCTATGTCCACCTCTGCAAACCCAGGGTGCTTTCCCCAGGCCACCCTGTTGCCTGTCTCTGCCTTGCTAGTGCACTCTCAAGTTCTGTCTTCAAAAGAAACACCACGGAAGACAGGGGAAGGGGATGGAGTAACCCTGGCCGCAGCATCCAATCCTTTGGGGACCAGGCCAGATTACATTCCTCCCCAGACCCGCCCCTTTACCCAAGGGGGGCTATAGTCAGTGAGCCCCAGGTCAGTCAGCTAGTAAGTGGGAGAGCTGCAGAGTAAAATGATTTGTTGAGCACCTGCCTGTCCCAGAAGCACGCCACATATTATTTCTGCCAGGTCAGTGTGATTACTGCCCATTAAACAGGATGCTCCTCCCTAGCTTGGGGAAGAGGTAATGTCTTCCCCTACCTCAGTGAATCCATGCTTTCTCCGGCTCTGGTGGCAAATTATCATCCAATGGTCTAAAATGGTTCTTTAGGCATGGGCCAAGAAGCTTAATTCAGTCAGAGAACCAGCAGTATAAGAGGAGAAAGACTGGGAGAATACCTCCAGCTGCCCTGTCAGAGAGATGACTGCTGGAGTCCTGAAGGCCTCAGGCAGGAGGCTCTGCAGGGGATTAGGAAACAAGAGATTGGGTGATGGGTGACCTGCCCTAGCGCAAGGAGTACGCGATCAATGGACCAGGCCTATTCTCTTGTGGCCTGGAGGTTCAGTCTCCTAACACACTACGAAGAGTACTGCAAAGAGTTAAACTTCCTTTGGTTAGATAAAGGCTGAAGAAGGGCGGGACTTCCGGTGGCTGTGAAATGAAAGACAGGGGTGAGGGGAGAGGCAGGAAAGGGGCTTCTGGAAGGTGGAGAGGAAAGAAAGTATCCACTGTGCCATTTACAAAATTCTTTGAGCTTTCTATGGGCATCCACATGAGACATCCAGGTGTGTGTTTCTTGCCGAGTAAATCAGCAAGTGTCTTACAAAGCAAGTGGAGGTTCCACAAAGCAAGTGGGAAAGCTGGTAAGTTTTAGGCAAGGATGCCTCTGAAAAGGGATTGAGTTTCTGGGTCCTAGAACACTCCAGTTGTTAGGAGCACTCAAGGATAGAGAGCCCCAAGCTGCCCAAAGCCTAGCAAACATGGCAGTTGGCATTTACCGAGTGCCTAAATTGTTCCAGGTAATTTGATTGCTGTTTTCTCATGCATTGTTCTAACTGCAGTAGTCCTGCAAGGGAGGTGCCACCAGGCCAGGCCGAGTTTACAGAGGAGAAAACCTCAACTCAGATCTCACAAGCAAGTTGCCAGGATCAGCTGGCTGGCTGGCAGCCTTGCAGGTGGACCCAGGGCCTGCCAAGTCTGAAGCCCACACTGCCGTGCTACAGGGAAAGATTCCATCCTCCAGGAGCTGGGGGCTCTGCCCAACCCCTGGGAAAGTCTTCTGTTTTCAAACTCGGACATCGCAGGGTAGGGAGGACAGGGAACATGCCGGGGTCAGGTGAGGAGGTGTGAAAAAATAAAATTAATCTGCACTTTCTGACTAGCTGTGGCAGTCTGTCCCTTTTATTTTGAAGGGTTGGGGCCCCATTGCCAGGCATCTTGGAGGAATCGTATGTGTGAGGAGCATTTCCTTCCAAGACAAGTGGATTCTCCCTATCACAACACATTCCCGGAAACTTAACTACCCAGCACCCTCCGTCAGTCCTGAAAATCCTAGGTCCTGGCTTTCCCACGGTGGACCAAGCAAACAACAATGTTTCTGAGCCTGCAACATTGTCTGATACTTTGCCAATGCAGAAGGTAATGGCAGACCTGTTCCTTGAGCAGAGCAACCGGGATAAGATGCTGGCAGACAGCAAACAGTGGGCATCTGCCCATGAACAAAAGACAGGTTCCAGGGCATCCCCGCCCAGTGTTATGGGCCTGGCCTCAGCAGGCAAGTGCAGAGTAGACAATGGCCATGACCAAAGGGAGATTTGGATTCAGCCTGGGCTCACGTTGGCCCTGTGAGGGTGGGGAGCGGGGCAGGATCTCCCGACTTTCTCTTTGGCAGAAAGGCAGAATCTCCAGCCTTCTGGAGGAAATGATTTTGAGTTGTGGTGGAGGTGGATGAGGGTGATTCTTAGAAGATGTACTGAGACCTGCACACAGGCTCCTCCAGGGCCCACGAGCCATGGAACAGTTAAATGTCAAAGAGCAGATGGAATTTCTTTGAACATCCCTGTGAGTGGACTTGTCAAAGGAGGGGCTCAGCCTGGCACAAGACTACATAGAAGAATAACTGAGTAATCTGGGCTCAGAGAAAAGGTTTCTTGGAGGAGAAGTGGGCTCTACGTTACACTGCTCATCATGCAACAGGCTTCTGCAAAGCTCACAAGGGTGATTCGGAGGTGGGGGAAGGCAGAGTCTATGCTACTGTAGCCAGTGAAAATCAGGCCCAGTTCTTGACTGGTCGACTTCTGCCCCAGTTCCTGTGGCAAGTGACACCAGTGTTGCCAATGTTATCTCCAGATGTGCAACGCACGAGAAGTGGTTGAGATTCCTCCTGTAACTTGGACCACTTGAGGCCTGTGTAGTCTCAATAATAATGTAGCCTATATTATTTTTCATGTTGTGATTATCTAATGATTCATCCATTCACTCTTTCAACGAGTGCTTATTAAGGTCTACTATGTGCCAGTCATGAGTCTAGTCACCTGGGATTTACAGGTGAACAAATCACGCACCTTGCCCTCATGAATGGTACATAAAGGCAAGAAACAGAAAATAAATGCAAACCTTCTACATTATTAATTATAGAAGGGTAGAAGGAGACAATCACTTGGGTAGGGCAGGTGGCAGTGGTGGTGGTGGTGGTGGTGGTAAGCTAACACACAGCAGGGTAGGGTATCCGGCTGTTGAGAATGGGAGAGGAGAAAGGG